CCCCCCCCCCGCCCTCAGAGATCTCCTTGGCCAGCCTGCCGTGATGCCCAAATTTCCCATCACCATTTGTCACTCTTCTGCACGAAGGCCTGGTCAGCGTGTCCTTGTTCAATGTAAATTGGCTACCTAGCTGGAGTTAACATATTAATCTGCCAACACCCATTCATCATTGGTTTTCATATCAGCAGAGAGCAAGGCGATGAGGTAATGGAACGTGGGACAGGTGAATTTTGATGAGGAACGAGCAGGAAAAGCTGAACAAGAGTCACAGCTGGTGAGAAATGGCTCAGAAGGGGCTGGGAGGTGGGCTAGGTGGGCAGCAAAGGGGCTGGGGGCCAGGGGCCTAGTTGGACCAGGCAGGGACTGGATGGACCAGAATAAAGGTTTTGTCTTGTGGAAAGACCCTCAGGGTCATCCATGTCATTTTACACGTGGCCTGAGGTCCTGGGCCTTCCATCTGTGCCTGGCCAAGCTGGTCTGGCAAGTGCCCTTCCTGACTGAGCAGCATCCTCAGATCCAGGCCTGGCTCTGGGAGCTGCCGTGCCTCGGGTGCTCACGGGGGCCGCTGACCCCCCTCTGCAGTGGCAAACACCTCTCCAGAGTCAAGAAGTGGAAGGAGGGTGGGGTGAGGGTGAAGGGGGGCCGTGCATGCTTTATAGAGTTGGAAGGAGCATTAGTGAACCTCGGGTCACTCTCATTTCATAGCCGAGAGACCGAGGCCCGGGAGGAGTCCCCCTGACTCTCAGGCATCACCCACTGGTTCATGGAGGGTCTGAAACTAGAACCCAGACCCACAGGGCACGCCATTGCTTCTGGGATCAGTGGAAGAGCCTCAGTGTCACAGGCCGAGTTTGAAATCAGAAAGCAAAGGGGAGCTGCTGCAGTTTCTCTTCAGAGAGGGCCAGAGGATGAGCGAAGGTTGCAAAGCGAAATCACTGTGGGTGTGAAGAGGCCATTGCAGAAGCCCACTGTGGCGGCAGAGGCAGCGGCGGCGACCGGAGGGAGGGCCCTGGCACCGGGCGGAAGCGGGGATCGCCTCCCAGCGCCGACCTCCTCTGTGCTCTGCAGGAGCCGAAGCAGCCCTCGGCCCTCAGAGCTGGTGGCACCCGGGATGCTTCCGAAATCCAGCCCGGGGAAGTTGCACAGCTGGAGGGAGGCTCAAGGACCCCAGCCAGCCCCCCGCCCCCCCGCGCCCCCCGCGCCCCCCGCTCCCCGCCCCCAGCGCGGGGCCGGACGCCGGACACCCGAGCGCGGGCAGACGAGCGAGCGGGAGGCAGGGCGGGCGCGGGGCGCCCTTGCCCGGAGCCATGGGCGCGGGGCGGCGCGGGGCCCGGGAGCGGCGCGGCCCGGAGGCGCGAGGGACCGGGGCACGGGCCCGGGGCCGCCTCTAGCCGGCACCGAGGGCGCGGGCCCGGGGATGAGGGCGACCGCGGCGGGGAGCCCGTCTGCGCGCCGCGGCGCCGTCCCGCCCAGAGAGCGAGCCCGAGCAGGCAGACGCGTGGCCGGCGGTCTGGGGGCGCGCCGCCTCCCGGCCCCCAGAATGTGAAGCGGGGAGGGCAGAGACGCAGAGACGGCCCGGCCGGGCGCCCTCGCCGCCCTCCGGCAGCCGCGCCGCGCTCCCCTTCCCCTGCCCGCCGAGGCCGCGCCGGCCCCGCGGGCCACGGCCCGGGCAGCGAAGCCGCTGAGCCCCCGCGTCGCTCGGACCCGGCTTCGGCCCGCAGCGGGTTCGTGGCCCAGACGTGGTAGGAGCAGGGCCCGGGACGGTGCGTCCGGCCTCGCCCGCGGCTCCTCGCCCAGACAAGTTTGAACAATGATCACAGTCAACCCCGATGGGAAGATAATGGTCAGAAGATGCCTGGTCACCCTGAGACCCTTTCGGTAAAGTTGTTTCCCGGTTGGCGTGGGGAGGTCTTTTTCTCCAAGGGGGCGTGGGTTGGGGTGGGCGAGGTCAGCCCCTGCGAGAGTGTCTGTCCCAGGGCTGCCTGTCCCGTTAGCAGAGGGGGCGGTTTGTGCTTCGGCCCTCGGTGGTGGCTAGTGGGGCTGGGAAAGGGATGGAGCTGGGGTTCCGGTTCGGGTGAGGAGGGTGTGTAACTCTGGGACGGGTACCGAGTTTGGTCTAGGTTGGAGAGGACTTGGGGTGTGAAGGTGGGAATGGGGGCAGAAGTCACCGATGTTGTAGTCCTGGGCCCTGGAAGTCGCCCCAGCCAGGTTGCCCCTTCCCTGCCCCTCCGGTCCTTCCCCACCTCGCGGGCGGCCCAACCCCCGCGGCAAAGTTAGCGCTCTGGGCGGGGCGGTACCCCCACCTGGCGGGCCAGTGGAGCCCTGAATCGGCCCGCTCACCCCCTCTGCCTGTCCCACCCCCTCTGACCCCGCCTTCTGCGCGCACTCCTCTCCGCGGGGTGCGGGCCTCTGTCCAACGGGAGGGTCCCCGAGATTGCGGCAAGGACCCCCTCTGATGGGAATTCGATCCCCGATCGTGGGCCTTGGAGAGGCTGGGGCAGGGGCGGCGCTGTGGGGCGGAAGGGCGACGAGAGCGTGGAGGCGGGATGGAAGCGGAGACCGACCCCCCCACCCCAACCTCGGCGGTCAAGGCCAGGCAGGGCTACGGCCGTCGGGGTCTGCCTGGGTTCTGCTAGACCCACCCCAGGGGCCCGCAGAGCCCGGCGGTTCCGGGGCAGCTCCCGCTCCTCCCAAGCGCCATCGGAGCCGGGCCTGCAGCCGGGTCTGGGGAGGGGCGCTAAGCGATGGGTGCCCAGCGGAGTCAGGATGCCACCTCGCCCAGGGGCTGAGCGGCGGAGGGCGCCGAGGGGGCGGCGGGGCCCGGGGCGGGGGGCGGGGGTGGTCCGCACTCGGGATGCGGCCACAGGTGGGGTCCGGGCGCGGGAGGGAGCCCGCGAAGGCAGGAGCTGTACGGGCAGAGATGCCCGAAGTTTGGGGGGCAGGAGGGGCCAGATCTGAGGCCCTCCCCTCCAGACCTGAGGCGGAGACCCGGCCCCTCCCATGCCCCCCGCTGGTTTTCCTTCTAATGGAAAGACCGTGGCTCACGTGGCTCCCGCCCCGCCATTGCCTCCAGCTATTGGATCCTCCGGCGTAGGGTAGGGTGCTGAGTTGAGGAGACAACCTTTAGGACGGCAAGGGTCAAGCTGGACCACCAATGTCCAGAGGATTCTGGACGACCGTAGAGCTGGGGGTCCCCAGAATAGAGCCTTGGGCAGGTGATTGGGGGTGTCAGGAGCCCCCACGCCCTAAAGTTCCCATGGGAAGCAGGTGGGAAGCTAACATCTCTGGAAAGGGCCTTGTTCCTCCGGGGAAATCCTCAAATCCCTAGCCAACCCAGACCGTCCTCAGCCCTGTCTCTCCCACCCAGTGTGGGCCCCTCCCTCCAGGCCGTGGGAAGCCCAGCCTCTGACCCCAGCTTGGCTGGACATTTCCCCGCACATTTGGAGGTAGCGGCTGGCGCCAGCACCACGGACAGCACCAGCTCCCTAGCGCTCCTTCCCTTTGGGTCCTGCCCCTGTGGCTCTTTCTGGCTTTTCTGAAAGCAGGATGCAGAGGTGAGGTTGCATAGGTTCCCCTCCCCACCCCCAGGTTATGTAACTTCCTCTCAGGGTATCCCTAGGCTTCCCAGAGACCCATAGCCACCAGTGAAGTCTTCAAGTCCCCTTCAGATGCGGGGTGCGTGTGGGGGGGTTTACTACCTCCAGCCGTATCAGCCCTACGTGTTAATCCTCAAGGGCAGCTGGGAGCCCTATTCCCAATGGTTTTCGCAGAGCCTCCGGCAGGGTCCTTATTCTATAATTGCTTCTGGAATGTTGCTTGAATGGATACATGGGTGGACAAAACCATTTTAACTTGAATCTACTACTGTAAATAGCCCCAGGATTGGGTCTGGCAGAGAGAGAGATGCAGATGAGGTGTTTTGGGGCTTCAGGTTCTGGGCTAAAGGCCTAGATACCTTTCTCACAGCAGGTATTTGGACGCTGGCAGCTCAGGTCCCCAGCTCTAAATACAAGTACCCCATAGCTGGGGAAGGGGAGAGGGAGTGGGGGCCGAGAAACTTGGAGAGACCCATCCTCGTCCTCAGGCTGGGAGGACAAACCGCTGATTTTCCCCAGGATCTTCCTGGATGTGTGACCACCCTCCCCCTACACGGTCCTTCTGGCCTCTAGCCTGAGACCAGCCTGATTTCATCTTGGGGATCCCAGGGCTAGAGTCCCAGCCCCAGGCTTGGTAGAATTCAGTGAGGGGTCCCTGGGAGGTGAGGGAGCAGTGTTCCTTGTGCCATCTGCTGGGGGAAGCTCCCAGTGCCATATCTGCTTTTGGGGTCTGCCCCCGCTCTGATTTAATCTCTAACAGCTTCCTTTAAATATGGGTTGGGAATTTTGTTGTGCTTTTATTTTTTTCTACAATTATGTGTTTTCTTTAATGAATCAAGTTTTAATTAAATACTGCTCTGCCAGTTTCAAATAATGAAGATTAAAATGCATAAACAAGTCTTGCATAGAGATACAAACAAATGTGGGGTTTGAGGATGGAGGTGGAGGTGGGAAGGCTGGAGGTCTCTGGCATGATTTGGGGGGCCCCCATGGTGAGCCTGGCTCCACCAGAGATGGGGTTCCTCACCCTGACCTGGGGGGGCTCCCCTTTCAGCTCTGCCAGTTCATCAAGTCCTCGGGTAGATTCAAAATCCCAGAACAGCCTCCACCTCTGCTTCCCTAAGGCTGTGCTGGCCCAGAATCTAGTATGGAAGCAGCAGGAGCCTGGGGCCAGACTTGAGGGTGGGTTCCCTGCTGTCCCCCTTAGTTCTTGGCACTTGGGATGTAATCAAGTGAAGTATAGACAGTCGTGTTCTGGCCAACTCCCCTGACCACTGTGACGGCACACGCTTGTATGACACCCCGTGCACAGGTGTTGGCTTACTCTGAGCCGTGGTGTAATCTACCGTGTGCCTGCCTGGTGAATATATGGATAGGGGGAGTCTGGACACAGAAGGCAGCCACAGGACCCTGCCCTTCTAGATCTTACCATCTGGTAGTGATGGGAGCCCTTCCCCACCCCCTGCCCTGAACATGACAAGGATGTGTTTAAGCTGGTTGCTGCAGCAAGGCCTGTGTACACAAGTGCTGATCAGGGCCCAGGTGATTGATGGGCTCCAGGTGGGTTTTGTCTGGACCAATTACTTGACCTCTGGCTGGCATCAGGTCCTGCTGTTTCCATCTATACCAGTTGTTCTCAAACTTGAGCGTGTATCAGGGTCACCTGGAGAGCTTGTTAAAATGCATTGCTTACCCCACCCCCAGAGTGTGTGATTCCATAAGCCTGGGACTAGGGCCCAAGAATGAGCATTTCTGATATGTCCAAGGTGATGCTGATGCAGCTGGTCTGGGGACCACATGTTGAGGACCTCTGCTGTCAATGAGCCAGCTTCCGTCTGGAGACTAGAACTTGCCCAACCTTATACCTTAAGGATGCCTCACTGTCCTGCATGGTTTTGCATGTGGCCACTTCCTTGTAGTCCAGCTCTCTTTATCCCGTGTGATGGGAAACCTACTGGTCTGGGAGCTCAACCCCCTGGTCTTTTATTCCTCCATCCATCCATCCCTTCCTCACTCATTCATTCGTAGGGAGCCCTTACAGGATAGGGGTGCATGTGCTGACCTAACCCTGACCTGCCCTATTGTCTCCACAGGCTTTTTGTCCTGGGCATTGGCTTCTTCTCACTCTGCTTCCTGATGACGTCTCTGGGAGGCCAGTTCTCAGCCCGGCGCCCGGGGGACTCCCCCTTCACTGTCCGCACAGAAGGTATGTTGGTGGGGAAAGGGGAGTCAGAAAGGGGTACAGGGGTTTGGGGGTCAGAGGAGAGGGAAGCCTTTGAACCTAACGCTGCAAGAGGCTTTCTGGGGCTCTGTCTTGGGCATCTGGCCACCTCGTTGGTGGATGTGTGAATGGTGGGGGCCTTGCACACTGCTTTAGCTCTTGTCCTGGCTGTGGTAATCAGGCTTCCTCTGGTCTAGCCTCTCAGGCCAGGAGGGGCCCTTGAGCCAGGGTCTCCCAGGCATCAGAAGAGGCTGCCTGTGTTGCTTCTCTAGTGGGGTGATTTGAGGTTTCTGGATATGACACCTGTCTCTCTGAGATACACATATTCTGTACCTTCGGCCCAGGCACAGGGGAGAGGGCAGGACTGCCGTGGGCTCATGTGTCTTATCTCCAAGCTCTCTGGTCCTTCATTCTTGCCCACGTGATGCTTACAAGGCAGTGGAATAGAGGTTCAGAGCATGGGCTGTGGGGACTAGATGGACCTGGTTTGTACCCTGGTTCATCATTTACTAGCTGTGTGCCATTGGCCACACCACTTAACTCACCTTCAGAGAAGGAAAGCAGTGACCGTTTTCAGAGGTTGGATTAAATGGGCTCACGTGGCATGGGGGTGTGATGGGGTGGCGGCCTGGGAGACCTCCTCCTGAAGGTGGGTCCCGCTCGCCCCTCATCCTACTCAAGGAAGAATGGAGAACAGTTCAGAACTGCTCAGTGTGTCATGGGGGCTCTCCCAGTAACCGTGGGAAGGAGACACATAGTGGGGAAACTGGGGCAAAGGGTGTTTCTGGAACTGTTCAGGGGGCTGCTTTGTGGGCTTTCCCCTGCCCCTCTGGGAAAGTCTCCATTTGAAGTCCACCTTCTCAAACCCCCAGGCCTCATCTGTCTCCCCTCTTCCCAGCAACGGATAAACCCTCCAGTAGGATGGGTTGTGATCTAGGGTCGGTGCCCCGAGAGGCACTTACTCTGCCATCTGGTGTCTCCTTAGATTCATGCCTTTGGTTTAACACACACTTCTTTAAATTTGCAACAGCTCCCAGCAG